CTTGTCTTTTAACAGGGGTTGGTTCTGTGTGCTATCCATGCCGCTCAGGAAAGCCGTGAGTTGTCTTGTCTTTTAATAGGGGTTGGTTCTGTGTGCTATCCATGCCGCTCAGGAAAGCCGCCAGATGTGGACACAGTGGCACACTCGTGCCTCATTTATACACTGCCTGCAACTGACCCCTGGAGACAGCCCAAATATATTAAAGGATGCTGTTTCTAAACGTTTATTACTAGACATATCCACAAGTGGCTGTCCTATAAAGAAAAGACCTCTCACCACTGAAAGAATTCAGGAAGAATGTTGACACTTGTGTTATCTTGGATAACTATAACAAAACACCATCAATTAAGTGCCTTAAACAACTGCAGGTTGTTTTCTCATAGTTCTGGCTGGAAGTGTGAGATTCAGATGCCAGGATGGTCAGATCCTCTTGAGGTATCTCTTTCCCAGCTGGTAAATGGTTCATATTGTATCTTATTGTGCTGTGTGACTTGACAACATTTTGAGGATTAATCCTATCATGAGGGTCCTGCCCTAATGGCCTCATCTAAACCTATTTACCTCTAATGGCCCATCTTTAATAACCATCACAGTGGGGCTAGGGCTTCAACGTGCTTGCTTGGGAGATGGGCTTTAATCTCTTTAAGTTGGGCTGTTTGTGTTTGTCATTGATGATGTAAAAGTAGCCTAGGACTTGGAGGATCTTAATACCTAGTTTTTCCAATGTTCAGTTTCTATAATGTTGTTGTTAACATATTCTCTTCTACTATTTTGAACAGATAAACTTTGTAATACTAAGAAAGAAAATGTGTTATTTTCCAATGGTTGCAATGAAGTCAAATTGGCTTTTCCTGATGGTGAATGGGACTCCTTGACAGTAGAACAAAAAGCCAGTCACAAAGAAATCAGCGGTATTGACAAGATAGATTTGTCAGAACCATCTTTTTCAGTAAATCAAGATACAAATGTAGAGACTATTCTCTCTCAGTCAAGTGAGTTTGAAGACAGCCTTGACGATGCCTTTCTGAATGAGACGTACTCCATACATTATTCAGAATCAAAACTCAAGAATGAAAATCTTCCGCATTTACATTCAGAGTTACGTCCCGAAGAGCACAAAAGAGTGGAGATGTTTTTGGATACTTTAGGACCTCAAAATAATAATAGTATTGGACTGGAAAGGAGCCACGAGCTTTCAGGTGCTGACCGTGGAGACCTGCAGAAGAGTGATGGGGACGACGATTCCCAGCAGTACCACAGTGCAGAGCAGGAGAGCATAAGCACTCACTTGCCCTCTGACCCAGCCAGAGCAGCAGGCAGGTCTAATCTGGAGGTCAGTGAGGCAGAAACATCAAGCTGTGCCCTTAAGTGTGGTGATGATTTAGAAGATAATCATGCGAAATTAGAGAGTGATTCTAGTCCCTCTTTGGTGTCATTTAGTGTTTTTGCACAAGAATGTTCTCCTCAAGTCTCCAAATCTCAGAGTTCTGATATGTTAAAAGAATATCATGAACCAAAATATGAAAAATGTAAGGAGCAAGAGATTGATTTAACATACCATAAAGCATTTGATGACATTTTACATAGAAGCAGTTCTCCATTAAACCCGCAAAAAGTACCTCAAACTAAAATGTATACTAAAGAAATGAATTCTCAGACAACTGAAAGTAAAGATTTTTGTGGAAACAGAATTTTCAAGAACAAAGCATTACAGCATCGTGAGAACCCTACCACATTTCCCCAAGGCCAAGCCCTTGAAACACAGCTACAGGCTAATAATGATTGCCAGACTTCCGGGACTTCTATGTTTGATGACTCAGTCATTTCTCTCTATGGCTCTTTGCAATATAAAAGCCTCCCTGAGCCAGGCTTTTTTTCTCCTGTGTTACCAAGGGTGGCAGTCACAGATAATCAGGCAGAATTAGAAGGCAGCTGCCTGCACCATCTAAAAGGCAGTTTCACAGATAAAGCATGCTCTCTTGATGTGAAGGAAATATGTCTTAAGTCACCACCAGACGCAACAAGCTGTGTGCTCTCGGCTCAGCGGACACTGGATGTGAGCCACAAGGCAAACGCAAGGTCTTCCATAGTGTCTCCATCCAGCAGCACAGAGGTGGAGATGGTAAAAACAGCGCAGCCTGAGGAGTGGCAAAGTGAGAAACAAAGTGTGGCTTGTAATACAGACTGGTCTTGTGGACAGGCACGCACAGACTGGTCTTGTGGACA